CGAAGTTATTGAGAAGCTTGATTTATCATTTACTTACATCCAAAGCGACATACAACTGAGAAAATGGAATCAGATGGTTTCTGGGGCAAATGGGGGATTTAAGGCTGTACTCACGGGCTTGACAGTGAATTCATTCTGCTGGCCATGGGATTTGAGCCAGTGACCTCCTGATCATCTGAATCCGCCGAGCCGCACAGCGCACCTAAAAGCAAAGTATGGCCCATATAGGAACCGATCTTGGGTAATGAGCACCAGGCTCTAACCAACTGAGCTTAACTGGGCAAGTGTTCAGCAGGCCAGGTTTCCCGGGACTGGGATTCGCAGTTTGCTGGCACGCCCTTTTCATTCATAGATGTGGCGTAATTGCACATAGGCAATGATCACTTACAGTGCTGGAGCACCACTGGAAGCAGGATTTGACACCTCAAAAATCCCAGGACGTTCCCTCACCCTCACCCAGGTCTCCCACAATTAAGTCTGCCGAGAGGAGGCAGAAGCCTCCCTAAATAGGGTCTAGGACCACCTATGAGTAGAAGTCAAATTCCCATAGAAGACCTGTACAGTGAAAGTGTGTGTGAAATGAAGGGCATCAAATGGAGATTTGACCAATCTGGTGTGAAGAAGGTAGGGATGGACAAACTGAGGCTTCATGAACCACTTACTGTATTTTTTGACCCCACTAGATGGTGCTCTCTGTTCCTAAAAAGGGCACAAAGCCTCCCCCAAAGTAACCCAAGAGCACCATCTAGTGGAGTCAAAAAATACAGCAAATGGTTCATGAAAAGTATCAGAGAACTGAAGACAGCATGCAAATTATGACTGGCTGGGACTAGGAAATGTTTCAGGCGCTGTCCCTGTCTGAAAGTGACATGGAAAAAGAAATACTTCCTACATATGTATTGTCTAAACATATGTCCCGTCCTAGACTTGTTTTGGAGGTTTTTTAATCTTTTTTTTCTCGTCTTAGGTCCTTGGTGCAGAGTGATGCTGAGAAGTTTGATCTGGGCTATAAGAGTTTGGGTTTGGCACCGAGACTGGTCATGGTCATGGTCATGGTCA